TATTGGCTATGTAATAGTATACACATGATTATATGTTATGAAAATGGAAAATAAAAAAAGTATATTTGAAAAAAAAAAGTTGTGGGTGCTCCATCATGTAGGCTTTAGAGAAGAGACTGAAGAGCCCTGTGTCTGGAATGCTATAGAGTCGCCCCCTTCAGTTGGGGGTTGGACTAGAGGGCCTCCAAGGTCCCTTCCACCTCTGTTATTCGACATGCCGCCCCCATCTCGCCTAGAGACCTTCTTCTAAGTCCTCTTGGCGTGTTATGCGAGACCCCTGCAGCTTTCCTGGGAAACTCCAACTGGAAAAGATGCGACCAGATTCCGTCACGCGACTCTCCTGCCAGCCCTGCGTTCCACGGGCCCCTCAGCCTCCCCGCCCAGGATCCCCCCAAGGGTGAGAAGCACCGCAGTCGCCCCTCCCCGCCCGGCCCCGCCTCCCTCCCCAGGCTCCTCCCTCCGGCCGATGAGGGGGGGCGCGGCGGGCTTCGGGTTTCTGCTCCTGCTTATTAATAACGGCGGCTCCAGGCGCCAGTGCCGGAGCGGCAGGTGAGCAGCGGCTGGCGCGCGGGGCTCCGGGCGAGGGGCGGCGGGGGACGCTGGGGCAGGGTCGGAGGGGCCGGGGGCGCTGCAGGGGAGGAGAGGGGCAGGCGCGGCTGTTCGGAAAACTTGCGGCGGGAGGAGAAACTGTACGACTCCCGCCGCCCCTCCGAGCCCCGCGGGGAATCGGCCCCGCCGACCGGGAGCTACCAGGGGGCGTCTGGGCCAGCTGTGCAGCCGCCGGGGGCAGCGGGGGCTGCGGGCGCCTTCGGAGGTCGGGTGTGGCTCCCGAGAGGGGCCCTTCGCCTGCAAGCCTGCTCTGGAGCCCCGAGGGCGGGCTGGCCGAGGGGGAAGCGGCCTTATTTGGGAAAAGGGGCCGATTCGCCTGCCGCTCCTCCGCCTCGGCGGAGGCTCGCGGGGCTCGGCCCCTCCGCCAGGCCAGGGGCTCGGCATGGCCGCGCTTGGAAGTCAGCCGCCCGCTCGCTCTCCCGAGGGAGTGGAAGGCCAGGCGGCCCTTGTGCGGCCACCTGTTGCCGGGGCCCCTCCGCTCCTGCTCGCCTCTTTCCTCCCCGGCTCGTCTGGGCGGCCGCTGCGGGGAGGGGGGCGCCTCGTCCGGCCGCTGGCGGGCTCGGCACCTGCTCGGCCGTCCACCCGGAGCAACCGGACTTCGGGCTCCGTCCCCAGCACCGCCCGGGGAATCTCCGGTCCCGAGAGACTTTTGCCGTGGCCGCCGTCATATGGAGTTTCGCCGCCGCCTTGCTGATTCACGCGGGCGCAGCCTCCTCGCCCGAGAAAGCAGTGGCGCTTCAGTCATTAGTCAGTTCCCAGCAGCGGCGGCGGAGGCTGCTCTCAAGCCCGACTAAACTGCTCAGATTTGTCGGTGCCATAAAATCCTTGCTAGAATTTAATCGCCCGTTTCATGGCTAAATGTTTGATTTGTGCCTTTCATTCCTCCGTACTTGTTACTTTACGGGGTGGCCTCCCATATGCAGCTCCTGCCTTCCCTGCTCACAGGTTCCTCCTCCCGACTCACTTTTCAACTCCTTTCCCGTCCTTAGTGGAATTTTCTGGTTTGCCGATAATCCCCAGCCTCCCCTCCGAACCAGAAACTCCAATGCACCAGGTGGATTTGGAGCTGGCAAAAAAAAGGTTTGGCTTCCTGATGTCTCCTGAGAAGGGAGCCGAAGAGTTTCTGTCGGGCATGAATTACGGTCAAGTTGAGGTGTGAGAGAAACGATGGAAGAGGAAGAAAATGAAGGCAAAATGGGAAGAAGAAAAACAATACTGTAGTTTTCTCTATTAGGGTTTAATCCTACTGTGGGCTAAGGGAGGATTAGAAGAATAGGGAAAGAAATGCAAACAGTTTGAGAGGTAGAAGTTGGAAAAACCCACACATAAATTGGAGGATGCTTAAATATTTGGAATTACATAACACTGACTCAGGTTTCCCAAATCTGGCACTGTCCAGATACACTGAGATTAAAATTTGCTGGATTCCTAGCCAGCAATGCTAAATAAATCATGCAACATCTTAAAACCACTAATGGGTTGGATCAATATTTAGCTTGAAAATGTTGCCAAGGTAAGGAGAACATATACATTTATGTCTCGGGCACCAAAATACTTTCAGTCGTGCTAATTTATCTCGCTCTTCTGCTCAGACCACAGTCCTTCCATGCAAGATGGGTTGGGTGACCACACAAACATTTGAAGCAACCGGCAATATTTTTCCACAAAGACTCCAACCTCAAAACAGCTGCCAATGTTTATTGACAGAAGAGAAACTGCCGATTCCTCAAACCAAAGAGATCTCACCTATCATAACAGGGTTAGGAATCCCAGCAGTGTGGATGCCACGCAGCTAATCAAAACTCAACACTTGAAAAAAGTAAAGGATGTTTATCTGAATAAAAACTTAGGACAATAGCTGCATCATTGCATGAGGCTTAATTTGCCACCTGTGCGCATTGGCAGCCATTGAGCTGAGCAAAGCAATAGACGGGCATGAGCAGCAGAATTAAAACTGTCAAAAATAGTAATGTAAGATCTGTATATGACCCTCCACCCCCACCCAGTTCACTTCACTAGTCTTGGATCTCCTGGGATTTGGCTGGGGGAATGAGGCTTGTGGTCTAGATCTGTTTCTAAAGTCCTTGCTTCCTTGACGACCTTCAGCCAAGAATTCCTTAGCCCAAAGAAATCTCTTATTTCCTCTCTTCCCAAAGACCCCTCGCTGGGAGAGGACTTTAGAAGGGTAGAATATTTACAATCTCTGCTAATTTAAAGATTCATAGACCAGATATTATATTAATGCACAACCACTGTATTCTAGGGAAAAATCAATACAGAGTTAGTCCATGGTTTACAAACCCAATTGGGACTAGAAATTCTGTTGCTAAGCAAGGTGGTTGTTAAGTGGGTCATACCCGATGTTATGACTTTTTTTGCCATGCATATTAAGCAAATCACCTCAGTTAAGTGAATCATGGTCATTAAGCAAATCTGACTTCTCCCATTGACTTTGCTTGTTGGAAATGATCACATGACACCCCCCCCCCCCCCCCCCGGGGATACTGCAACCATTGTAAATACATGGCTGGTTGCTGAGTGCTGAAGTTGATGCTGCAATGGTTGTAGGTGTAAGGATCGGTTGTATGTTACTTTTTTCAGCGCTGTCATAATTTCATGTGATTGCTAAATGAATGGTTATAAGTTGAAAGTTACCTGTCCATATTCTCTGCCCTTTCTATATTAGTCTCCAGTGAGACTGACTTGTAATAACCCACAGGCACCTGCTGGTGAAGAATGCAACACAGAGAGAGTTTGGAAAAGAAAATTCTTCTAAACCCATGTGCTACCTAAAAAAAGGGAAATGAGTGGCATATAAGTTGACAAAATATGGGCAAATAAAGGTCACACACTTGTGTTTGTGTGGCAGGTACTCATGCAGGGGGTTGGGATGTTTTTATACTTTCCCCCAACTAACTTGTCAGAAAGTATTTAAGAAATTCTGTCTGCTCCAGTCTCTCCTCTGCATTACATCTTTACCAGAAACTGAAAAGTTAATCATTTTGCTGAGAACGTTCCCTGTTCCAGGATGACAACATATGGAGGCTGTACAGATGATGGCCTAGAGCAGACTTGGCCAAATAATATAATGGCTGTTTTGAGTTTTGTGAGGAAGGGATCAGGAAAGGGCCCTGGGATGCAAGACCAGCCTCTTGCCAATTACTCAGAAAAAGGATTTTATTTTAAAGCGCTGTAAATCAAAACAGAACTGCTGGGCAATAAAGCTTTTTAAATATTTTAACAGCAGAAATGCCATGCCACTGTGATTCCTTTTCAAATTCTCTTTTCTTAAATAATGCCCTCAAAAGTCTTTCTATGACTTTTTGATTCAATGTCTTTAAATCCCCACTTTCCTTCTCTATTTACAATACAAAGCTATGGCATCTGTGTAGTACAAAGATACCTCTCTTTCTCGAGATCTGATTCAGTTTCCTTTCTCTTTTCAAGAAAGAAATGGCAGATTTTGAACTTCCAGTGGAGCAGAATAGTGAAGAAACCTTGGAGCCAAATATTGCCGGTGTAGGAACTCTGCCAGAATTTAACCAAGAAAATGTCCCTGAGTTCTTCTACAGGGACCCCATTAGTGCTCAGTTCCAACCAAACCCAGAAATTACTGGGGCCTCACTGGGGCCTCAAGAGTCCATGACTTGCCAAGACTTGTCTACTGCTGAGAGCCAACATGTGGAGGTGGAAGATCTAGGAGACCGTTTCCAGCAATGCATTGAAGCAGTCGAACAACTAGAGGAGGAGAGGGACTGTCTCATTAAGGAACTCACTCTCTTACGCCAGCCGGCTCTCAAGGAACTCCAACGGGCCCATGAAGAGATTCTGGAAGCCTACAGGCTCCATGCCAAAGTAGAGCTGGAGAAGGATAACCTGTGGGATGAGGTTCGACAGGTGAAGCAGAAGCTATTTAGGGTGACGCGGGAATGCGTGGCCTGCCAGTATCAGCTGGAAACCAGGAGGTACGAAGTCACTCAGCACGTGGACTACCGAAAAGAACTGGAAAACAGAGTCAGCCAGCTCTCAGAAGAACTGTCCCAGTTGAGAGAGACTTGTGAGGAAGAGAAGGAACATTTTAGGCAGAGGCTGAAGACTCCACGGCATGAGAGGAGCAGCCGTCACCTCCAAGAGAGCCGGCGGCTTTCCATGGAATTTGAGAGTTTTGTACTGGAGAACCGTCAGTGCTTGGAGGAGCATTACGAACCGAAGCTGATGCGCCTCTTGGAAAGGAGAGAAGCCAGCAGCAAAGCCTTGCAAACGACACAGAGTGAAATCCACAGACTGAAGGAGACCCTGAGGCCTCTGCAGGGAGAAGTCAGCAAGTTGCTACTGCAAAACAGGAACCTGGAGGAACAGATTTTGCTGATAAAGCAAAAGCGCGATGAAGAGGTCCTGCAATACAAGGTAAACCTTATGGCTTCCACCCACCCTCTTTCAGTTAGCTGCTAGGCCATTTGATGCAGCACTCGCCTGGCAAGGTAGCTTGGCAGGGCAAAAGGAGTTTTGTTTGCAGGTTCAATCTAGCTACTTTATTGTAGCCTCAAGTCTCAAAGGCCTTCTGGGGGAGTGCCAGGCTGGCCTTCATGTGCTCACCTAGTGAGTCTAGATGTCCCATTTGAGTCCGCCCCCCCCCCAGGTGGGATGCTTGCTTTGCAACATTTACAGGTTGGTTCTTGACTTGCAACCACAATTGGCACCAGTATTTCCATTGTTGAGCAAGGTGATTATTAAATTAGTTACACCCCATTTTATGAACTTTTTTGCCAGTTATTAAGAAAATCTGCAATCTTTTTTATGAATCACATCGTCATTAAGCAAATCTGGCTTCTCCCATCAACTTTTCTTATCAGAAACCGGCAGGGAAGGTTGCAAATTGCGATCACATGATGCCGGGACACTGCAACTTTTATAAATACTTGCCAGTTGTCATGTACCCAAATTTTGATCATGTGACTGTAGGTCACTGTGATAATCGTGTGAGGTCCAGTCATAAACCACTTTTTTCAGTGCTGTTGTAACTTCAAACAACACATTGTTTTAAATCAAGGATTATCTGTATTGTAAGAGAAACTATGGTCCCATCTTTGACGCACAAATCAAAACCAAATATGACGGTCGTAATGGTGTAGCAAGTTATATGAAGCAAGCCAGAGAAAAGCTTATCATTTTCTATGCCACCTGCTTAGACATAACTCTGGGATTATCTTGACTAACAAACCTTAAACGTTTCTTATCTATACATGACTATCTAAAGAAATTATCCCATGCTTTCCTCAAAGGCACTGTAAGCTTACATTCAGTTTACAAAGGAACTATAATCATGTTGGTCCATGAGAAAATAATCTGCAATTCATGATGGAGCTGCCTCTTTATTAGGCTGAGGAAGTTATTTTAAACGGGGGTGGTGGTGGTGGTGTAGAACAGTGTTTTTCAACCTTTTTTGTGCAAAGGCACACTTTTTTCATGAAAAAATTCACGAGGCACACCACCATTAGAAAATGTTTTAAAAATTTAACTCTGTGCCTATATTGACTATATATAAAGTGTTTTTCCCACGGCACACCTTACACTATGTCACGGCACACTAGTGTGCCACGGCACAGTGGTTGAAAAACACTGGTGTAGAAGCACAACTCCCTGCCATCCATCAAGCTCGGTTTCCTCACAGCTCGGCTGGGCTGGGGCTGTGTGCGGTTCAGTAGCAGAGGCAGGGAGACAAGTTCTTTCCAGAGACGGGCTGTCTTATATGCAGTATGTTTGGTGGCAGACAACAACGCTATGTAGGGGGCAGGTGTTGTGGAACAATGGAACTTCCGAATACATTCATTTTTGACGTCTTTTTCTGCTTAGAGCAGCTTTTCGAATCTGGCACGGCTTGCTGATCATAGGGAATGTAACTCCAACAGAGTCAAAATTCCAACAGGGGTCTCCTTTTCTGAGGAAACTTTATTCTTCTTCTTCAATTATTCAAACTCTTTCTTCAAAAAGGAAAAACTAGCAGGTTTAGGAAAAGCTATTTACTTGTTCAGTGAGATTTTAAAACCATGTGATCTGACTCCTCTCTGGAGAGTAGATAAATAATGGCCTATTTTTGTGGCCACAAAAGCACATTTTGCTTTCTATGAATAGGACTGATCTGTAACATCTTCAGCCAGTGAGGACTTTGAAGGAACCCTGGATCTGGGGGACATCAGGATAATAAAGAGTTTTGAGATGGACCAGATTCAACGTTTCTTTTCAGGAACAGACTACAACTAACAAGCCACATGTGCACCTGAAAGAGCCCCAAGGGCTGTCAAGCCAACGCCCTCAATACAGGCGGTCCTTACTGCCATTTAATGACCGAAATTATGACACTGAAAAAAAACAATGACCAGTCCTTGCCCTGACAACTATTTCAGTCTTACCAGTCATCTGATCAAAATTCAGTCCCTTGGCAACCTGTATGTATTTGTTATGGTTGCGGTGCATCCCATGCAATCCGCCTTTTGCTACTTCCCAGCCAGCAAAGTCTGACAAGCAAAGTCATTGGGGGAAGCTGAACCAACAACAAAGTTTGTAAATTCAGGTGCAATTCAGTTAACAATTGCCTTGCTTAACAACGAAAGCCCATCTCCAATTGTCATCCTGCCAAGAATTATCTGTATCAAGAAACATCAGCATAAAATGATTATAGTGTTTCGTTAGTAACGTATCTTTAAAGCAGTTTAATATCTTTTATGTGCAAAAGATAATTAGAATGAACAAAATCATTTAATCTCATGATGGTAAAACTTTTAAAGCAAATAGTGAATCGCATCAATTCTACAAGCAGACTTGTAATTAAGGTATTGGCAAAATTATTTCACCATTTATATAATTACTCACACTTTTAAAAACTTTTAAAGTTTTCGTATTATTGTATAAACCAGGGCTCCTCAGAGCTGGCTGGAGAATTCTGGTAGTTGAAGTCCACAAGTCTTAAAATTGCCAAGTTTGAAGACCTCTGGTATAAACTTTGATTTGGGGTTATATAATCCCCGCTCACAGCTACATTTGTTTTCATGCATTTTCAAAACAAAAAATAGAACATCTGAGAGCTAGCGCTGTGAATGCCATTAGGGCTTCTTACTATGGAGCCTGTTTGGCAGCCATTTTATTTTCAGATTACTGTGGTCGTTTTGTGCATTTTTTAAACTTTTGACAGCTGCTCAGACTGATCGATCAATTTAAAACCAAATGTTAATTTAAACGAGACAAAGAGGCAATTCTCATTTAGCATGCTGCCTTTTTTAATGAGCACATGAGGTTATGCAGTTAATTTTACAACCAGACCTCATATTTATGCCTTTCACAGGTCTGTAAAGCAAAGATTGTGAGGAGTCACAGTTCCATTTATTGACCATTTTGTTTAATGACCGAGTTGTCAGTCCCAGTTGTGGTTTACCCAACAAGGAACACCTATAATTTATTCAAATTATTATAAGGTTATAGATTCCATGAAGGATGTGGCATGTGATTTGGCTGACTAAAAAGGCATGTACTGTAAATCTCCTGTGTCAACCAAGTAAGACTCCGTGGCAGGCACATCTGGGAAAACCCAAAGGAAAGTCAGTCTCTTCCCCTGCACCCACATGTCCATCACAAGGTCCAGTCAGGTCACCATCCTAACTGGAGTTGCTTCCCAGTCATGCCTCTCCAGGTGCAGGCTGAACATCCTTGCCTCCCAGTGAAAGAATGTTGTTATAGCTATACATCTCACCTCCCTCCCAGTTCCCACAGCATGCCCCTCCACCGAGTGTGGCAGCCCTGAAGATCCAAAGAAAAGGATGGCCTCCAGGGCTGGCATTGTGGGTTTGCAAGTGTCCATTCCAGTTCACTTGTCCATCGCCCAAGTTCACACCCAAGGGGCTGCTCCTTAATATTGCAAAGCCCATCTTGACTGCAACATAAGGTCACCATGAAGAATTTAAAGCTTTCTTTTTTAAAAGATAATTTACATACCAGTATAGTCCTCAGCTTGCCATTTGTTTAGCGATGCTTCCAAATCAAAGGCACTGAAAAAGTTCTCAGGAGGCCTCACACAACCTATGCAGCATCAGAATTTGGGGGCTTGCCAACTTTATTTATGGTTGCAGTGTGCTGCATTTATGATTGTCCCAGCTGAATTCTGACAAGCAAGTGTGAAGTTCCCAGAAGATGACCTAATTAATTTACGAGCCTCCAGACAAAGTTCAAAATAAATCCAATCATTTATTAGGATTGACATTCTGGTGTGGACTCCTGTGGAGCCGAAACTGCTTTCACTTAATTGCGTTTGCACTTTACCCCCTGTATCTCCTCCCTTCTGTCCTGCGTCATAATTCATATTCTCCAACTAGGCTGTAGACATGAGATTGACTCCGGCCGAAAGCATGCATGGAATTTTCCCTTCCATGCCAGCCTGATAATAGTCATGGCAAGAGGATATATAATGTATTAATACAGATGGATTCGGAAACAGAATTAGTTAAAGATTGTATGATAAAATGGGCTCAAAATATTGAAGAACCAATAATGTTGGATACATGGGAAAGAATCTGGGTAAGAAATGTGAAATTTACACAAGCTCAAAATCTGAGAGAAAATTTTTACAAGATGTTCTATAGATGGCATTTAGATCCTAAAAAGTTGGCTTCTATGTATCCGAATGTACAGCCTAAATGTTGGAGGTGTGGTTCTCTCGATGCTACATATTATCATAAATGGTGGACCTGCCAAAAGGTTAAGGCATTCTGGATAAAAATATGGTGGGTTATGCAAAATATTTTTAAAAGAAGGATAAAGTTTATTCCTCAGTTATTTTTACTAGGTATATGTACTGACTTTACAGTGGTAGAGACTAACTTGATTCTGCATCTAATAACTGCAGCAAGACTGTTGGTGGCGCAATACTGGAAGAAGGAAGACTTGCCTACAATCCAAGAATGGACATTGAAAGTCACAAACTTAGCTGAGATGGCTAAAATATCGGCATATCTTAAAGATCACTCAAATGAGAGATATAAACGAGACTGGAAAAAATGAATTGACTATATACAAAATAAATACGGGACCAAGAAATTCCAGTTAGCCTATGCTTAAGATCAGAAATGATTTAAACTGTTAAAAGTTAGTTCAGTAAGAAGAAGCTAAGGTCAATGTAGAATGTCATTAATTTCTTTATTTCTTTTTTCTCAATAGATTTTAGACTATGTTAGTTAAAAATCCATACCGTGTACGGGTTCTGGGAAGGCGGGGGGGGGGGGGGGGGGGGGGGTGGGGGGGTGGAGGGAGGGGCATACAAAAAAAATTGTACTTCAATGTTTTAATGATTGACGAATGATGAAATATTTGTGTTTTTTAAAAGAAATAAAATAAATATTTGGAGAATAGTCATGGCAATGCTTTAGAAGTTGACACAAAGTTTGATTTGCTTAACAGCATGATTCATTTAACAACTCTGGCAAAATATGTTGCCAAATTTTGCCTAGCAACACAATCCCAGCTCTGGTTGTAAATTGAGGATTACCTGTCTTTTTTGCTCACAGGAGCAAGTGGAGGAGATGGAAAACAGAATGAGGGAACTGAAGACTGGAGTTCAACTTCAGCAACGAAAGAACCAAGAATTGGAAGAACTGAAAGCCAGTTTACATCAAGAACTGTCCATTTACAAGTAGGTTTCACTTCTTTGATCCGTATCCACGTAAAAGCAAATTAAGGGTTTGAAAATAACACTTTTGAGCCAGGAATCTTGATTTCCTATTTTTTCTACCTTTGTAGTACCTTTGTAGCTTACTTCCTTGGCCTTTGTGCTAGGAGTGTAGCCTAATAGCCACTCTTACTATACCAACAGTATAAACCATGGCGGCATAATTAGCATATAATCTAAATATATTCTGTGTACAGACAGGATTTTTGATACAATATTCAAATTATAACAAATAGCAATAGGACTTAGACTTATATACTGCTTCAGTGCTTTATAGCCCTCTCTTAAGCAGTTTACAGAGTCAGCATATTGCCCCCAACAATCTGGGTCCTTATTTTACCCAGCTTGGAAGGATGGAAGAGTCAACCTCGAGCCTGGTGAGATTCAATCTGCCAAATTGCTGGCAGCCGGTGATCAGAAGTAGGCTGCAGTACTGCACTCTAACCATTGCATCGATAGATAAAAATATCTTGCTTTGATATAAAAATGGTTATATAATTTTTCTACTGTCAAGTTTTCTTCTATGTAGGATCTACAAGAGTTTATGTTCAAAGCACCTCTAGAGCAAATGTTATTTTGCAATATATTGTCTTTTGTAACATAGAACTGATGCAACTGTGTAACCAATTCTCAATTCTCAGAGGCTGCTTAGAAATGTACGGGCAACTCTGCAAATCGGAAGTGAAGGAAGATGAAGACTGAATCCTATGCAGAGCCATCTTTCCCTCTGCTTACCAATATGGACTCCATCCAACTAATACTGGTAGCAACCAATAAGCAAGATTTCTAGAATGAGAGTGCATTTTTACTGTCAAAAAGGATTATGATTTTTGAGATGTGGCCATTATGACAGATTTGATGTTAACAGACTAGATAAGCATTATCAACAACTGTAAAAAAATACTCACATGACATGTCAAAAACTTTGTGTCAATATTTAACTTTCTGTATAAAACTTGCTTATGAATAGTGAAGGAAACTTTTCATATAAGAACTGCTTTCCTATAGGGGTTTTTCAATCTATGACATTCGATCAGCAACCATTCCAATGGTATCAACCATTATGACACCACCTGAATGGTAGTTACGACCAGTCATTGGACTGCTGGCTGTCCCAGCAGCCCCACAATCACAGGATTGCAACTTGGGTGATTGGCAAACTTATCTGCACTTACAACCAATTGCTAAGGACACCATGATCACCATTTGCAACCAACCTTGTACACTTCTCCAGAAAAGTCAACAAGGAGGCTAGCAGGAAAAGTTTATATAAGACAATTTATATGGACGCCCACCCACTCAGTGATTCTGAGGAGCATAAAAAAAATAAAAACCAAAATCATAAGTTTTAAGGCTCTCCAACTCACAGGGCACCTCTCACACACCCTCACTGTGCCCCCTCATCCCCAGCCCACAGTGGGTCACCTGCCTGCAAGCCTGGGACTGGCAACTTCCCCCAGATTTTGATTGTAGGAACCTGGCAGGAAATTGTCTGCCCTAACACCAGGTGACAGCAACCAGGACTGCAGGAATTGCTGCTGCTAAGTGGTGTGGAACAGAACTACTAAGAACAGAACTATTGCAAAAAAGCTGCATAAGCACAACCAAACAGCTTCCAACATTAGGACCATCTTGATTTAGTCAGTAACACATAATTACTCAATTTTTATTCCCAATGGCTAAGAACAATTAACTTCAGCTATGTGAATAGTCACTTAGCAACCATTCAGTTACATGACTCTCCCCCCCCCCCAAAAAAAAGCTACTTACCTTTTTCTTCCCCTGAACCCACACCCTGCATCCCAGCATCACACACTCATTTTGGGTGCTTTGCAACCAGGCTCACCTTTATAATTGTTTGCAGCATCCACAGTCACATGAAAATAATTTGTGACACTTTTTATTTCTGGCAGAAAATACATATTGGGGAAAATAGATTTGTTTAATGTCCATGGAATTCACTTAATAACCACAAAAATTTCCAAAAAATTGGGTCCAATCACGTGATGCCTCAATTTGTGACCAGAATGATTTAGGGTTGTAGTTCCAGGCTCAATTATGATAGTAACTCAAGGAGTATCTCTAGCTCCTAAGAAACCTAAAAGACAAACTTTTCAATAATATATAATTTGGTAAAAAATCTATGCATGTTCAAATGAAGAAAAAAAGACGTCACATTTTACATTAAAAAATGAATTTATTTAACTTGAAGTTTTTTACAGGGTTCATGAAGTTACACTGGCTGCTGGTGAAACAGTTAAATCCACACAGCAAATATTCAGAGGCAAACTGAACTAGTTTCATCATTTTGTATTATGTATATCTGCTACCAGTGTTCAATTCCAGAAAGCTGGGCATGAGGTCTGCGATCTATCACTCAGCTGAGACACCTTTTACAACTTGGTCTCCCAAGTTAAAACATAAAAACAATTAACCAGAAATGAAAGATAAAACACATTTCAAGAAAGATACAGAGACAGCTAAGCAATGTGCAGATATATAGGCTATCACCATATTACATTCTTATGCTAACATCCTAAGATGCCTTATTGGAAAATGATAGACGGAACAAGATGCTACAGAGAAACCTAGGAAGAAAGTCTCACTGACAGCAGCTAGAGGTAAGAATGAGAAGTGATGAGCCTGCATTGGATTTACCTACGGCAAGAACTTGATGAGTAGAGAACAAAAGTAACCCCAATTCTTTTATTGGAGGGCACCAAAAGTATTTATAAGAGAATCCCCTCTGCAACTTGTACTGCAACAGTTAGAGCATACCTTGTATTGTTGTTTAAAAATCAGAAATTAATCTTATAGTTGTGGCAACAGATATTCACACTAGCATAACTGACAAATTCTTTAGAAATGGTCAAAAAAGGTGAATCTGTCAACATTCAACAGCAACCTTTTACATTCTCAGATGAACAGCATTCATAAATGAGCTGTTGAATGCAGTGTGATTTCTTTCTTTCAAATATTGTCAATTTTAGGATAGTTAGAAAAGGCAGGAAGAGGACAGTAAGGAGAAATAAAAGGGGCCACGTGTCTAGGATCCTTGTCCTTCTGGATCCACACTTCCTTCAGGATCTTCATCATTATATATGTTCTCAGCCTAAAATAGGAGATGAATAGAGAAAGGGAAATATTGACTTGGTAGGCAAAGCAGACCAATTCTGAAGGCAGTTGTTAACCATTCCAACTGAAGAAAACAGATGCAATGGTGTCCTTGGTGCTCTGAGCCTGGTGGTTTGTCTGCAGACTTTCATTATAATTCACCTTGTTTACCCAACAAGGTAACATCAATGTGAATTGCAAGGAAACATCTGCAAGGAAGCCACCAAGCTCAGGAAGCTCAAAGAACTCCACAATTCTTAATTGTGTCAGTGATAGGTAACATTAAGCAGCTTAAATGTGCAACACAGTTTATGTATCTATTATAAGGATTCTATTCTTTCCACAAATACCAGTGATAAATTCCTTTGATTAGCATAAGGCAGGGGTGACACACTCACATTGTCATGGCAGTGTCACGTGACATATTGGGACTCCCCAATATGACACACTCACATTGTCATGGCAGTGTCACGTGACATATTGGGACTCCCCCCCCCTTCACTAAACCAGATGTGGTCATGGCCAGCGTGTGATGCATCCGGCCCATGGGCCAGGAATTTGATAGCCCTGGCATAAGGCAACTTAACAAGCATATCCTAGAAGTGTGCCAAAAGTGGGGGGAAACGCAGGGGGGGTCGTGCGCAGGCATGCTACCCATGTGCGTGCTTTTCCCCTCTGCGCGCAAGACCAGTGCTTCCCCTCTGCATTTTTTCATATTTTTTTGCCCTCCCCAGGCTCCAGAGGCTTCCTAGGAGCTTGGGGAGGGTGAAAATAGCTCCCCCGCCCTCCTAGAGGCTCTCCGGAGCTTCCCTGAAGCCTCGGGAGCACGAAAAACCGGCCCTACAGGCAAATCGGAAGTTCAGGAACGGACTTCTGGTTTGGCCATAGGGCTGTTTTTTGCCTTCAGGGAAGCCTCTGGAGGGCAAAAAATGGCCTCAAAAGAAGGCCAGTCAGCTAGTCAGCGCGCTAGAGCTGACAGGGCAACGCCTCGTGTGCCCTAACAAATGGCTCCGTATGCCACCATGGCACGCGTGCCATAGGTTTGCCATCACAGCCCTAGAATGTCACATTCTTTATATAGACATTACCATAATATTTCCAATATTGCCATAAAATTCTGTGGTCAACATTGTTCATGCAAGGAATGATTAAAAGTTTGCAAACTAACAAAAGTAATGGAACAGTCATCTAAAATTTGCACTTTGGCTTAGCCTTGAAATAATCCGTCAAATACGTACCATTTGCCACACTTGCATTATATTGTCTTCTGATACAGAACAAATTACCCAGGGTTCATTGGGATTCCAGGAGAAGTCAGATATCTTTGCAGTGTGACCCCCGTGAATGAACTAACATCAGAATCAAGAGAAAGTGACGTAAATACACAATAGCAATGGTGCATACTATCAGAAATAGGCTTCATAAAATCCAAGAGACTTGGCCATATAAAATGTATTGATCTTTAATACTTACTTCTATAGGGTACATGAGCAAGCATCATTCAACCATACATTTCACTTTATTTTACTACCTCTTTTACTGTAGATTTGGAAAGCACATCTCAGGACAAAAAAGATCATAACAGAAGGTGGCAAAAGGTTGTTCTGTCAGACTGACTGTAATTTTGGGATAAAAGATGGAGAGGGGAATAATTTCAAACAGGAAAATGTAGCAGAGATAGCACTGTAGTAAGATTAAAGTAGGAAGGATCCTCTCTTGAGCGTGGATTGTTTTCTTGCAGATGTTTCATTACCCAACTAGGTAATCAGTGCTAGTAAGGAGTGGGGTTTGCTTTCAGTTTATATTCTAGTGGCTTATCCTCTGAATATTGGTAGAGGTGGTTTTAGAGGGTCTTTGGTTGGGCTATTTATTGTTGGCTTGTTTGACAGTTCCATGACTGGGTTTATTGTTGATCTGACGTTAAACCTGCAGTAAATCTATGCTCATCAGGATGCTGATTGTTGGTGGGGAGATGTTTTAATCTTTTTGTTCCCTTTTTGCCTCGTTGACTCTCTCTTTTGCACAGAATGTAGATATTGTTTATGTCTATTGATGGCTAGTTTGTCAGTGCCAAGCTTCTAGAAATTCCCTAGCATTCTTGGATTTGGCTTGGTATAGGTCAGTTTCCAAATTGAAAGTATGGTTAATTGTGAAATTAAAGAGTTTTCACATCTTCTGACTGCTGGTTGGTGTTTATGGATACATTCTGCCAGTCTTCTGTTTGTCCTACATAGTGGCTATTGTAGTCATTACACTGTATGTTATAGATGGCTCCTGTTTTTTCTTCTGGGGCTGCAGGATCTTTTGGTTTTCTTAGGATATTTTGAAAGGCTTTAATTGGCTACGCTGATTCCATCTGGTTGTAGTAGTCTGTTCTCTGTAGAGTTGTAGTAGTCTGGTTGTAGTAATCTGTTCTAGATATATATTAGTCAGGGGTGGGATTCTACCAGTTCAGACCAGTTCAGGTGAACCGGTAGTTCTAACGATCAGCTGGGAGCGAATCGGTTCGGTCCAACAATCAGGTGGGCCCGCCTGCCTACCCCTGCACTATACGGACCTATATCTTCTCACCTGATTCGCACAGCAGAGTGGATTGCCATGCCTCAGCTGTGCTACTCCCCAGCAGTAACGCGGAAGGTAAGCATTCTTAAAACTCTGCACGAGAAGCGCGTGATCACCGAACCAGTTGTTAAACCAGCAGAATTCCACCATTGTTAGTGTTATTCTTTTTAGGGTTTGGGGTGATTGTGCTGTATTGGGTTGAGTGGATTAAAGTACCCACTTACCAGCAATTCAGGTGGACCATCTTCTGCATCCTCGGGAGATTGCTCTTCTCCAATTTTACTAGAAAAGAAGCAGCTGCATTATATAAAAACCATTCCTGATAAAAATTTATACACACATCATTAGACTAATTTGATGCTCACCTCAAATCCCAGACATTTAGTCGGCGATCAGTACCACTGGAGGCCAAAATAGTTTCATTATGTGGTGACCACTGAACCTGTGGAGTAAGATGATGCAAAACACATTGTTGTAGTACAGGTAATCCCCACTTAATGACAACTTGGAACGATTAGGTATTTGGTCAAAAAAAGCTTAATGGCGAATGAACTATTGTGCCACTCCCCTTGAGCAAAAAAAAATGCATTAACCAAATATTTGCTTTAATTGTAGAACTTTTGAAAGATCTTCTTAAAAACAGCCAACTTGTCAAATGATTAAGAGCAAAGCATTCCATACCCATTATGTGAATTACCTGAAATATTTCATCTTTATGTGACTCAAAGGAATGCAGCTTTAGTTTCAAGTTTCTCAGATCCCACAATGCAACAGTCTGTCCAGGAAGATCAAAACAATTTGACAAATTAAAACATTTACCTTTTATTTCATATATAGCAGTCAATAGAGTGCAAATCATATGTTCAATACCGCTTCAATGCCAAAAAAAAAACACCCCTATGTAATATGCTGATTTAAATAGAAAGACCCCTAAACTGAAACCATGAATTTAAAGGCAAAACACTACACATGATTCTAATTAGGTACCTTATCAGCTGATCCTGTAGCCAGGATGAACTCGCTGTAAGGATTGAAAGACAGGCAGTTCACTTCAGCAGTGTGAGCATCCACCGAATGGCTTGGTTTCGAAGTGTTGTTTGAACGGGTGTCCCAGCTTTAAAAAAGAAAGAAAATACAATTTGAGAAACTGTTCTCATAGGGTAGTAATATATACATTGTTGGGTGATTAACAAAACCCTTTTCTCTTTGTAAATAATAATAATAATAATAATAATAATAATAATAATAATAATAATAATAATAATCCCAAAATTTAGTTTGAGATAAAGAATACTGCTTTGCTTACATCATGAGTTTCTGATCATCAGCAACAGATCCAAAAAGAGATTCATGGAGCAAATGCCAGGAAACATCCTCCACCACAGCTGTATGACCAGTGAAGATAGTTTTAGCATCCACCACTTTCCCTTCCTTTGGAACAGCACTTATGTCCCACAAGCAAATAGTCTTAAACAAGGAGAGAAAGTGTGTTTGGTTAGGATAATTTACCTGGCAATTAATACATGTAATGGGGATGTGCTAACACATATACTCACATGATCATCAGATGCACTAAGCAAATGTCCACTAAGATTTGGATTCCAAGACAGACCATAACCTTCTTTTTGATGCCCCCGAAGACGTAGATCTGGATTGCACTCCCCAGAAGGATCTACAAAGAAAGCAATGGCTGAGCAAAAGCACAAATATAATAAAATAATAACTTCTTCTCATTTTTTAAAACATTTAACACTAGGGAAATGCAAATAGCAAGCATATAACTATTGTGAAAAGTATTAATTTTGCTTCAGGTTGGAATTAAAGTAGAGAAAACTTGATTATCTAGTTGATCCACATAATTAAACAGTTACTCAAAATCCTTCCCTAGTAACCACTATCATATGCTATTCCTACTTGCCTGAATGCATAAATGTTACTTTTCAAATAGCAATTATTTGGCATATTATAACTTTCTTAAGATTGTATTTCCAAACAGGAGATGAAAGACATGGAAATAGGCAAAAACCTGGTTTAGATGGATGTTTGGTATAATCAAATACAAGAACATCACTGGATGGAGTTTTTGTGGCAATAATGCAAGGATTCTGAGGCATGTAACGGGCTCTATTCACTTCTCCTTCATGGTTGATCTTTATTTCAATTTCAATTTTTCCACTAACAGATCCAAAGCCGCCAAATTCTGGAAATAAAGATAAGGTTTATAAACTCTACTTTATTGCTCATAGGAGGATATGAATTGAGAACAGAAATATAAAATATAAAAGCTAGTGCAATAATGCAATACAGCAGCCTAAAATACTATTGCTGATTACTAAACTGTGCTCAAGCAAATGTGACATTAAAAGCTTTCCATTGACTTATCTAAAAAAAATCAAAATGCTGACATTTCATATTTATAGTGTTACAATATTTAATATTTTCTATCAGCTCATTATCAATGTTCATTATGAACCTAATTTGCACATAGCTGAATGATTTTAACCCTAACCCATTTGTCAATAAAACCAAAACAAGAAATCAAGTACTGCCAAAAAGCACACACAAGATGCAATTACGCAAACCATGTTTTAAATAATAGGTCTAAACCCACAACTAAAAACTTTCTTACCTCCCTTTTCACTATCATAATGTGAGGCATCAAACTGGGCATCATCATTGGGGAGCTGAACACTGGCTATTACAAGGTGATTTTGCTCATCAGATGTATGTGTCCCAAGAACTAGCCGGTGAATACTGAAATCTTTGCCTTCGGGTCTGTAATGCCATTAAAAAATGAGACCGGGTTGAATTTAAAAGAAAAAAAGAAAAGCTAGACTGATTAAATAGGGTCAGTGAACACTACAAAGAAAAAGCATCCTTTGAGCAATTAATTCTTAAAGTAATAAGAATATTTTGCTAAGAAAAAAAAGCAAGAAAGAGCCAAGAGCTCTGGCTATTTCATACATTTTCAAAAACAAGGCAGGCTATTTATTTGGGGTGGGTGGGTGTAGGAGAAGAGGCCAGCCAGATTTCTTCTGCTACACTGGGTAGAAAAAACAAAAAGGAATCTCTTGCAAAATTCTTTTGGGCCCAAGTACCATTCCACACAGGAAAGAGCTGTGTAACTGAATGCCATCTGATTCAGAGAAGGCCAAAAAGGCATTATAAGAAAAGGTATGTGAGAAATAAATTCAAGCAACCTTGGTTCACCTTAGCATTAAGATGAATTAGAGAGGGGCTTTGATAGCTTCCTGTTACAACATTCTAATTATATAAAAGCCTGACCCAAGACTCCACATGATTCCTCTCTCTTGGCTATGCCTATCTTGAAGATTTGACCATTATTTTTCCAGGACTGAGGGTTTTTTTTCTGCAACAGCTACATTTTAGATTGTTTTTGCCAAGCACACCTCATCCATAATGATTTAGCAAAACTTGTGGAACATGATTTACTCTGATTTAAAATAGGTTTTACTTTTTGTGCTCACCCCTATTTGCTATATGTTAATAAAGAGTTGCAAAAGAAAATTAAAAGTATGGTGAGGACTATTGTGCGCATTTAAGTCTTACCCTCAATATGCACATGTCCGAACTCAATTCCATTCTATAGAACTTAATGCACTGTGCATGAGTATCTGGTAAAGAGGACTAGAAAACTAAATGCATTTATAATTTTATGCAAAGGGAGGGAGCAAGCAGACTGCAAGAAACACATGCAGGCAAAGATTATTGGCACCTAGAGTTAATAAGAGCAAGGTCTTTTCAGTTAAATTAATGCTATAATGGGTATAGCTACTTTTCCAGCATATTTACAAAGTTTCACTTTGCTCAGTACTTATACATGTTAAACTGTAATTCTTAGAAAATTACCTGGTTACATCTGGAAGCCACTGAGCAGTCAAGCTGGGCCATTCTAAGGCATGTGTCATTACAAGGTCGTAAAGAAAGGGAGTATTCTTTTTCCATATTTTATATTCTTCATTGATCACTCGTTCCTCTACTGCATCATCAAAGGCAGCTAAAATATAACATCAATGCAATCCAATTAATTTTACAGTAGCATGAAAAGAAATTATTAGTAAAGTTAATTATTCAGAATACGAGATAGAAGGGAAAAGGTACTTTTTATACATTGCAAAGTATTTATGTACACTCACAACCTTATCAGGAAATGCAAAAAATCTAGTAATTAAACATGCAAGCCTATACTAATGTATAGAGCTTACTATTGACTGGATAATTATCACCGAGACACATTTTTTTCCTGTGATTAGAAATTATTATCCACAATATCAATATTAAAGTTCGGCAGTCTCTTTCACAAGACAGAACACAATATAGGAGGGGGGTCAAATTGTCATTTTTCTTTAATGCTCCGAAAGAAAAGGCGATTCTGGCCTGCAGTACAACAAAGAGCTCCCTCCAGGCTAAGGCCTCCTCCTCCTCGGCTATCAAGCGGTGCTGCTTCCCAGTCCGCTTCGTCTCAAGGAAAGCAACCAAGGCGCGTGGAAGAGCCAGGCCTGTTCACGGGGCTTCTCGCTGCCAGAGCATCCGAGGGGAGCTGACCGGGCTGCGCTGGGCCAACAACGGCAAGAAGCCTCCCCCCCACCCCGTCTCGTCCCCCTCCCCAGGAGCAACCGCCCAGAAAGGCCGAGGCGGAAAAAGGCCCAGCGGCCGGGGGAAAAAACGCCCTCGTTCCTTCCGCCCCCCGGTCGGCGCCGGGGCAGCCATGACATCAGCGTTGCTTCCCCGGAAGGCGGAGACCCGACTGCCGCGGGGCTCAGACCGGCGTGGGATTCAAGTGCCGGGGAAATTGTTGGGGGGGGGAGCGCCAACCCCCCCCCCGCGAGGAAATCGGGAGACCATCGGGGAGCCCACCACCCCCGCCCCGGGATTCCCCCCGGCCAGGCCCCTACCTGAGCCATCGGGCAGCCCGGCCCGCCTCATCCCGGCGAACTCGCAGCCGCCACCGAGGGACCCAGAAGCGCGGACTTGCCGCCGCGGGGGAAGAGTCGGAGAGGGCGGGTCCAGCGCGCGCGGCGTACCCTATTGGGCGGCGTCGGGGATTCGGGGCGGGGCCAGGTGGACCGGCGCCAGGATTGGATGAAGGACTCCTCGTCAGGGCGGGAAGAGAGGGCGGGCGCGGGGCCTGTTCCGGCGGAGGCTTCCCCTCGGGAGAGTGCGGCTCGCCTACCTTCCTTATCCGCCATGATGGCGACTCGTCGAAACGGCGCGTGTGGCGTCGCGGCTCCCGGTTTCCGACGGCTGCCTGTCTGGGCACGCCTCTACCGTTTGGCGAGGCCGCCGCCGGTTCCTTTGCCCCCCCTTTTGGCCGTCGCCACAGAACCGCAGCCGCGCGCGACGCGTTCGCGCCAACGGCAGCCAATCGCAGACCCTCACCGCCGCCGCCTCCTCCGCGAATCACGAGCGCGGGAATGGCGGGAGGGGGCGGGGCAGGCAAGGCCACACGCGCGCGCGAGCTCCCCCCTCCGCCGCCATTTTCCACCGAGGAGGGGCGGGAGGATTGTCCGGGAAAGGACCCCCCCCTTGTCCCTTTGGCCGTCTTCCCAGTTGCCAGTCAGCCTCTCCTTTGCTCGGATCAGGGAGGGGTTTCCCCCCCCCCTTTCGGGATAGCCGGTGAAGCAGAAATCCGGCCGGTAAAGCTGCTTCAGCGGAAGACAAGGGCAGAGCAGCGCCGATTGACAGTGGCAGGGTGAGGTCGGGCCGGATCTGCTGGGACTTGGTTGAGGGGCCTCGGACCACGCCGGGAGTTAGGAACAGGAGCTCCCCCTCCCCCAGTCCATCGGGCCGAGAGGCCGAGGAAGCCCGGGGAAACAGAGCAGCCCGGCCCCATGGCGGACGACGGGCGGGACTACGACTTGACGGAGGCGCAGCAGGGAGTCAAGGCCAAATACCCGGCCATCCAGAAGAAGTACGAATGTGAGTTCGGCTTTAAGAAGAACCGGCGCCCTGCCTCCGCCTTGGCGCTCTTCCTTCATTTATGGCAGATGAGATCCAGAGAGTAAAACGATCTTTGCCTCCTTTTAATTCTTTTCACTTTGTTTTCCATCGGTCTTTGTTCAACTGTAGTTTTTAGCGTTTCTATTTCCCAATCTGGAAAAACATTGCTGAAATTTTGATTTTGAGATGATTACTTTTTAATTAGCAAATCAAAACCTTTAAGTTTGAGGCGCCTATTGTGATTTCTGTAGATTTCACTTTGACTCTTCATTAATTGATTTTATGTATTCTTTTAAAACCACATTTAGATCTGGATCATACGGCTGATGTGCAGTGAGTATTTCCACCTAAGCATATACTCTAATAAATGGAAAGGGGAGGGTTAGGTTATGCAATGCCCTTTCTCTAGTCTTCAGGAAAGAGTTTTTTCATGTCATAATTCCTCATTAGTAACTAATCTTATTGGACTCTGAATATGTTAAACCAGCAAAAAAGTCAACACAGTTCTAGGTTGCATAAACAGAGGGATAGAATCAAGATCATGTGAAGGGTTAATATCATTTTATAATGCCTTGGTAAGACCACACTTCAAATACGGCATCCAGTTTTGGTCACCACGATATAAAAAAGATGTGGAGACTCTAGAAAGAGTGCAGAGAAGAGCGACTAGGGGACTGGAGGCTACTAACCATAATAACCATTCTCCAGACTGAAAGGTCTCCAATTCTATGTGTAAAGGGGAGGAACCAAATATGGAATTCCTATCTGCAAAACAGGAGTTATGTCCCTAAAATACATTTCTTCCCCCCAAAGCTTCTAGTTTAAATCCAATGTATGGGTTTGCACCTGTTGGAAGATTACATCATATAAAAGATTCCTCTGCAGACTGGGAAGAAGAGTGGGTGGGAACAAAGGTTTTTCTAAAGAGCAAGTTATTGTAGAGGTCATTGTTGAGAACATTGAATATAACCCACAGAATTAAAAAGGCAACTACTATTTATTTTTTATTGGAGATCTCAAAATATAAAACATGTACTATTTATCCTGTAAGTCAACTGAATTGTCCTTTGTGATACTCTGGTCTTCAGATTTCTCATCTATATATTTTATTCTGATGCTAGGACCACCCTACCAAGCAGAATTAATTCTAATCAACTTGTAGGTTGCATGCCTGGGGTGATACCTTGGAAGAGGCATTTGAACAATGTGCTATGGCCATGTTTGGCTACATGACAGACACGGAAACAGTTGAACCTCTTGACACAGTAGAAGTGGAAGCGGAAGGTAAGAAAGTATTTTTGGAGCCTGGCTGTTCTAACTAGGCATTCCCCAGAAGTTTTTTCCCACAACATCCACAGGCAGGAAAAAGTTTTAAGAAGATTGCCTTCAATTATATGAGTGTTTTTAAAGGGCAAAATATTAGATGAAGACCTGTCAGTCAATCAGCCCAAAAGAGAAAAAAAAGATTCCAGCACCCCTCCACCAGTATTCGGCAACCAGATCAGCATAGATTAAATATTTGAGGAAGTAAAAGTGAGGTTTTGGCTTTCTTAGGAGAATATCTATGTGTGCACAATTATTGGGCAACTTAATTTGCAGAATTATCATGAAACTTAATGAAAAATAAAAATACCTCTGTTAAAGTGAGAATAATAAACTACTCAAAATGTACAAATAAACATTTCTGACATTTAAAAAAAAATCAGTGACCAATATCCTTCTTGTCAGTAACAGTCATGAGCCTTCCGTACATAGAGTCTGTCAGTTTCTTGACCTACTGACAAATAACTTTTTGTGCAGCAGGGACCACAGCCTCCCAGACACTGTTCAGAGAGATTTTCTGTTTTCCTTCACCATAAATCTCCCATATAAGGGCCCACAAGTTCTCATTAGGGTTTAGGCCAGGTGAAGAAGCGGCCCATGTCATTATTCTTTCATCTTTAAGGCCTTTTACTGGCTAGCTACACAGTGGAGTATCCATGCGATGGAGCATTGTCCTGCATAAAAATCATGGTCGTCTTGAAAGATGCAGACTTTTTCCTGTACCGCTGCTTAAAGAAAGTGTCTTCTAAAAACTGACAGTATGTTTGGAGGTTGATTTTAAATCCATCTTCAACCTAAAAAGACCCAATTAACTCATCTTTAATGCCAGCCCACATCAGTATCCAACCTCCACCTTGGTGGTGTCGGAGCTCCGTGCCCATAACTGATCCAGCCACGGGCCCACCCATCTGGTCCATCAAGAGTCACTCTCATCTCCTCAGTCCACAAAACCTTTGAAAAAACTGTCTCCAGATATTTCTTGGCCCAGGCTTAGTGTTTCAACCTGTGTGTCCTGTTCAGTGGTGGTCGGGTTTCAGCCTCCCTTACCTTGGCCATGTCTCTGAGCTCTGAACACCTTCTACTTCTGGGCACTCCAGGTAGGCGGCAGTTCTGGAATATAACAGCACGGAAGGATAATGGGTTCCTGGTAGCTTCATGTTTGATTCTTCTCAAACCTTTGGCAGTTAAGGTGCGTCTTTTTTCTCTCGACACGTTTCTTGTGATCCTGTTGACTATTTGCAACAAAATGTTTGAAAGTTCTGTGACCACACCCCAATATCTTAGCAACTTCATGAATGCTGCGTCTCTGTCATTTTTTGACTTTTCAGAGTTAAATCTTTTTTAGCCCATTTTGCTGAGGAAAAGAAGCTGCCTAATAATTATGCACACCTTGATATAGGGTGTTGATCTCCTTAGGCCTCATTACATGAATACACATCACCTGATATGCTTATAGCCAATAAACATTCAAGTTTATACAGCTTGGAGGTGGAAAATATGCATAAAAATGATACGTCCAAAATACTCTTGTTAATAATTGTGCACATGCTGTAAAATAGTTTTTCAAAGTTTTTAAAGCATAATTGTTGATTCCTACAAGTAGGCAGAAAATTTAACTTCCTTTGCATTCAATCAATCCAGGGCAACAAGCAGAAAAAAGAATGTTTTAGCATAGCATGTGCAAGAAAATAATGGTCCCTCCCAGCATGGTTCACAAAAAGATCTCCTTTCATATCCTTTGCCCAGCCTAAAGCTGTTGAGGGTGAGAATTAAGACAGGGAGGAAGAATTCTGCTTTGAAAATCCACCTGTGGTTTCTAACATATTTTTCCATAGGACATGATATGCTCTCTCTTCTCTTTCATTTCCTCGATGAGTGGCTCTATAAATTCAGCGCTGAGGAGTTTTTCATACCCAGAGTGAGTATTAATATTTTTCATCTTAAGAAATATGATACTTTATATACCAGCTCTTTGCAATGATCTTTTTGACCTATTGAATTCATCTATTCTTACGAAGCTGAGGTAGAATCATAAGACTACAACTAGCCAATGAAAAAAATCTAAAGAGGAGCAGGAATGTATTTTGTTAAGGTCCCATTAGTTGCATTCTTCTTGTGAATCAGGGATATAGCATCTTGTTAGATTATGTGAACTGTTCAAGATGCTGGAGCAGACTAAAATATCAGTTTGTAGGCTCTAAGAAAGTTACTGCTTCAGGTATACCTTGATGTATGTAGAAGTGGAGAATTTTTATGCTTGGATTAAGAATCCTGCTACTTGGAGATACTACTGGAGCTGTGTGAAGCCTGTGAAGGTGTATAGATTTCATACTAAGGTTAAATTCCTCCCTGTTTATAGGAAGTGAAAGTGCTTCACATCGACCCAATACATTTCAGGATACGATCTATTGGGTAAGTGAAATTATCCAGTTTAAAATAGAAGAATTGAAGTTCTAAAATCTAAAGACTTTGTGACTTTCATGGAAGATTCTGCAAAGAGTCATGGCGACTAAGTGTCATCTCTCTGCCAGGTTTCTTGTCATTTGTCATGAACATTTGGGAAAGAAAATACACACCATTGGAATCAAATTTGTCTGCCTTTAAATCTGAGTTCCCCCACTTTTCTGGGTCAATGGCCAGGGAAAGGGGGAGAAGAGGGAATGGTTTTGTGTGAGGGCAGGCACTCATGCTTGCACAGATTGTCACACAAGTGGGATTGCGAATGCATAGGCCATAGCCTGGTAGTGGGCTGCGACCCACAGGTTGAGGACCCCTGCTTTAAATGTTCCAGGCGACTTCCCCCTCCTTTGGTGATGACTTTTTAAAAAATGCTTTACCTTCTAATGATTGGTTTCTTTTATTTTCAAGGTGGGGAGAAGAGTTCTCTTTGCAGAAGCATCCCCAGGTATGCTCTAACATGCTTTAACATAGTTATTGTGGACTAGTGAATCAGAGTCAAATCTGGCTTGGTTGAGCATCCTTCTGCATTTCAGGAAAACCATCCTTGCATTATTTGGTCAAAGGCTCATAACTTATATACTCCACATAAAGTTCACTCTAACCTTTCAGCTAAAAGGAAATAATAACTACAAATAGATTCCCCTGAAAACGGCAACTTGGAAAAAAGCAAGCTCTGATATGGTTGGCTTCACACATTACCCTAAGTCAAAGCTCATTTAACTATGATTTACTGAATAAGCCGCACTTGTTTAGGTCCACATAACCACAGTTAAATGACCCATACCTTAGAAACCTCAACAATTAGCAGTATGGCTTTATGTGATTTATACACTCAGAAACTGCTTTTATTTTCATCTTGACTAGAAAGAGCAAGTGAGTGTACACGCACTGCCTCCAGTTTGCCTAAGTTCCTCCCTTGTTAGCTGTCCTGAGTCTGATCCAGTGCAAAGGGATGCTGTTGCTCAAATATTCACATATGATTTCTGAACTCTGCTCTTGACAAGGATGTTTGAATTCTGCCCGAATAAGCCATGGTTAAACATAGTTTGTTGAATTAACAAGTTATTTACTGTTTTCTTCTTGCTTGTTCATCTCAGGGGACAGAAGTCAAAGCAATCACGTATTCAGCCATGCAGGTCCTGGAAGAAGGAAAAGAAGTTTTTGTCATAATCGATATTTAAACAAAGGTTATTCTGCTGGACGCTTCCTCTGCAGCCGGCCCTTGGAGCCACAGGGATGTGTTCAGGAGGAACACAGAAGCCAGTCAGTCCAGAAACCCAAAAGCCAGGAGAAAGGAGCATGCGATAGCCATTGAGAAGATAATTTTTCAGTGAAAGCCAGAGATGAAATTGTTAGCTGTTTCATGACAAGATGGAAATGAACTAGGATCAATTATTTTCTTGTTTTAATTTTGCTATTTCCTGCACTTCCCCTTTGGAGAATATGTTGTTGAATATCCATTTGCTTTATGCACTAATTGCAGCCAGTCAATTACACTTAGTCACCCCCTCCCTTATGTAGTCATAAGAAACATTGGAAGATGTAGTTCTCCTGCAACCCTCCTGCAGTCACGCTCTCCATGATCAGGTGGCTGTGAAAGCACAGCTTATATCTTCTGCTCTCCTTGATAAATTCTTTCCTAGCCTCCATGACTGCTTCCAGCGGTGTGGTGAGATAGCATCAGCACTGGTGCAATTATGGTTTGCATAGATGAGAAGTTATCAAGAGGATCTGCTACTCACACTGTTGGAGAACGTATGGCATGATTAAAACAAGTAGTCCACAGATATTGACGAGAACACATAAGTTGCGTCATACAGATAGTTCTTGACTTATGACAGTTCAGTTAACGACAGTTCAAAGTTATGATGGGCTCAGAAAGTCTTCACACTTATGACCATTAGTACATGGTCATGTAATTGCATGATTGAGGTTTGCCATCTTTCCAGCCAGTTTGTGGCAAGCGGTGTCAGTTGTGGAAGCTGGATCTCTTATCAAATGCAATGATTGTAAAATTGGGTCCAATTAGTTGATGAGTTGCTTTACAACCACACTAACGTATTACAGAAAGTCCAACCCCAGTTGTGATTGTCAATCGAGGACTATCGCTCAAATGTCAACCAAAATCAGAGCTATGGTGGTCTTATTAAAGCTAAGAAATGTCTTTGTATAAAATAATACGTAAAGAATGTATATTGCGTGCATCCTGTGGTGGAGAACTGGGTTGTCAAGCATGAGCTGAGTGTTTGAAGTCTCCCTGAAGCGACTCAGTAGTGTTGAGGTCATGAGACTGACAGCCACTCCAGAACTCTTGCCCTTTTTGGGGAGGTCACTGTCATGTTGGGAAGTCCAGGTGGTGCCCGTGTGCAGCTTTGGAGCTGATGAATGCAAATTGTCATCCTGTATTTTCTGATGAGATGTTGTCTTCCTCTTGCCATCGATTTGGACTGCTGCCGAATCTCCCCACCCCAAAGCAACAGAGACCCACCCCCAGGCTTCCTGGGAGGGTTGGGTCTGCGTCTCCACAGGGATTCCTCTGCAAGTGTTTATGTCCATTTGCAGCTATAATGTTCAATTTTGGCCTCATCGTCCCAGACGATTTTGTTCGGGAGGTTTCAAGGCTCCTCCAGATGCCGTCTGGCATATTGCAAGTGAGCTGCTTTGGGCGTTGGTGCATCGACGGCAACCCTGCCCATGTCCCATTTTTGTTCCAGGAGCTCCTTGCTCCTCCTGAAGCAGCCACACTGCTGCTCTGAGAAGCCTCTGTCCCCATGGAAGCCGCTTCTGGGGTTTTCCTTCCAGCCCAGCAGATCTTGCAGCAGTTTTGTCTGACATCTTTCTTGGTCTACCCAGCTGGCTCAGTATTCTCATTCCCCACTTCTGGGTCAGAGTCTGAGCGGCACCGTTTGGCATTTTCAAATCTTTGGATCTCTTTTTAGATCCTTTTCCTGACTATGAAGTGGAGTTGCCTCTCCTCACAAATCCTTTCGCTTTCCCCCGGCTTCTCTAAGCGACACAGTCCTGGATTTATTTTTTTTAATGCATGAGTGTTTCTTGGGACCAAAGAAACTCATTGACTGCTGTTAAACGAGAAAGTTCTGGGTTCAAGTGTGACTTGAGTTATGAAGGAGCACATTGAACAACTGTTTGGAGTGGAGGATGGTTTATTAGGCTACTCTTGAAATTGGCACAGGCAAAAGGGCAGTAAGGTTTCTAGTAAAGTCGTCCCAGTGTTTGAAAGGTGCAGACAGAGAGGTGGGAAGTTTGGTAGAAGGAATGCCATCCTTCCTTATTCTTTATCTAGGTCTTTGGTTGTCTGGTGTTGAGGGGAAAACATCTTGTGTATCCTGGGAGATTGTCTTTCCTATTAAGAAACCGGCACTTATCAACTTCTTAAAGGGAAAGCAGCACTGCATTTCAGCCTCCACCTCAATCTAGCCTGAAGGGATTGGGGGGGGGGTGTTCTTCTGCAACCTTCAGCTTCTTTCTAATGGTTGGTTATTAGCTGGAGAGTCAGGAGAGATGATCTGCCTGTGAAATGCACATGAGGGCTGGCATGGATGGTATTTTCCCCCTTTTCCCCTCCTGTTATGTTTCCACAATACACTAATTACACTGAAACAAGGCATAGATACTTGCCGCTGACTATCACGCCCAAATAATCAAGGGTATGCAAACTTGAACAGGGCTGTTTTATTATTTCCTTTATTGCTATGGTTTATTTAATGATTGCACTATGATAGTTTATATTTTAATCACATTACAAATAAATATATTTTATTTGCTTGTTTATATTTACTTCCAAAATGATCCACATCTTACAAATTTTGCAAGGCATACGTAAGTTTACGAGCATAATTTATAAGACTTGGGGAAAATAACTGGTTTGCTACAGGAGAGGTACAGATATAATTAGGACTGCAAGAAAAACAATTGCAACTGGCCTGCCTACCATTGAGGACCTGTACCTTGTGCTGGTCAGAAGGGCTGAGAAAATACCCTGTCACTTCCTGGACATAAACTGGCTCAACTCTTCCAGATGCCGCTATAGAGCATTGCAAGCTAAAACCACCAGACCCAGAGTGTTTTTCCTTGTGCAATTGCTCTGCTGAACAACTAATTTCCACAGTACTGTAGTCACATGCAACTTCATTTAATAACCAGGAAAGAAACCACTCAGCTCCATTTGTTTGAAATTAAGTGTACTTTTACTAATTACAAATGAACAGTTGCGAAGCTAAGTGAATCTGTTAATTAGGCGCGAAAGCAAAGAATATCGTATAATTCAATCCCCTCCCCTTGGCACCCCAGTCCATAGTCCAATTATAATTCGCCCAACTGTCAGGTGGGAGATATCTNTTTCATTTTATTAGATAGTGCCCAATGTTCAAGTTTCTCAAGATCCTTCTGTATCTTTAGCCTATCTTCTGGAGTGTTGGCTATTCCTGCCAGCTATTCTTGCCAGATTTCTGTAGGATTGCTTCTTAGTGTTGATTTGAAACACTTCAATCTTCAAGGCTGGGATATATTTGGATCACACACATATTTATGAAGAATTCTCACATGGCTCCACATGAATTTGTGATGAAATAATCTCTGTCTTAACTTCAGATACCTGGGTTTTGAAAGTAACTATCTGGGTTCAGAGCTGAAGCAATACAACAACAACAGCAACAATAATAAAAATGCTTGGAGAAAATGTAAGTTCGCAGAATAAAGTAATGGTAACGAAATACATGTTTTTTGAATTTTTTCATGGGCACCAATATGAAATTTGGAGGTTAGGAGTGGTTTGGTAGAGTTGTTGTGATCTAGCTGTTGCATTTTACTTCTTGATTCCATTATTGTGACTGAATTAACTGGTGGTGAATTATTATTTTTTGAATGCTGTTTGAATTTGGTCCAAATATCAAACATCCTTCATCGAATATATTTTCAAGTATTAATAATCTAAAATAGTCAATGTTATAAAATAATAGAAAAACTTGACAAATACAAGGTCTCTTTGCGCCTTTTAGTCAGGAATTTCTGTGGTGTAAATATATTCTATTGGAATAATGTTGGGGAATTATTGTTGTAACTATTCGGATTTCCCACCAAAAACAGTGTTTGCATTTAAGATTTCAGCTTTTGGGGGAGGAGATGGGCACATTCAGAAATACTCTATTCTCCTTCTCTGAACCATAGTTTTATTGAGTTTCATTAGTATTATGTGTGGGTAAACTACAGTTAATCCACAGTCTAAGACTGGAGGAAACTTAATGATTCAAGTGCTATATTATTATGGTTCATCACACAGTCAGCCAGATGTTCAGATGGGTTTGGCATTTTTGTCCACTAGCAAGTCCTTTGAAAGGACCTGGGATAGGCAGATGTGGATGTTTGATGTCTTAAAGCAGTGGTTCTCAACCTTCCCAATGTTGTGACCCTTTAATACAGTTCCACATGTTGTGGTGACCCCCAACCATAAAATTGGTGTCTCAGTTCCTAAGACCATAGAAAATATGTGTTTTCCAATGGTTCTAGGCGACCACTGTGAAAGGGTTGTTCAACCCTCAAAGGGGTCCCAACCCTCAGGTTGAGAACCACTGTCTTAAAGTATCATCACAGGATGTAAGTTGTTTTGAGTAAAGCTGCCTTTTGCAATTGACTGACGGTGATGTTGTTTATGCTGATGGTGTTCAAGCTGTGCTCCAGTTGTTCTGGGATTACATCTAAGGCACCTATTACTATTGGTACAACCTTTGTTTTCTTTTACCATAGTCATTCTATTTGCAGGTGCTTATATTCTGTTATCGCCTCCATTTTTTCTCTTCTCTTCTGCTGTCTCCAGGTTCTGCCACATCCACTATCCAGATTTTTTGTCTTTCCTATCGACAACTGTTATGGGCCTGGTAAATTGTAAAGTCCCGAAGCATTCTAGTTTAATTTTTTATTACTTTCTCTATTTTATGATCCCACTTGTTCTTGCTTTGTAGGCAAATGGTATTTCTTTCAGATCTTCCAGTGCTACATTATTGCTACTTTGTCATGCTGTTGTATGTAGTTAGTCTGTGTGATCTTGCAGCAGTTAACCAGGTGAACTACTGCCCTTACTTTGTAAAAGGGGGCACTTGCTATCTGTTTTGCTGTCTTCTCAGTTCTGACTTTGTATGGATTAGTTCCATGATGGTAAACCATGATGGTTCCATGATGTCACAGGTGGCACGCAGAGCCCTCTCTGTGGGCACATGGGCCATGGCCCCAGCCCAACCAGCTGTTCGTCGGGTTTCTGAGGCAC